AAATAATCCGTTTATTCTTAAAGTATATCTAAAAGTTATATAGTTTATCGTCGATAATTATATCCGATCGTAACATTCAATTTATATCTGATTTCTGGAAACATATTTATAAACGTTTAAATATAGCGTCGAAACTATCGACAACTTATCATTCGGAAATCGATAAATAAACTGAAAGAGCAAATGCTATACTTGAACAATATTTTTAATTATATATTTCGTATTTATAAAACGATTGATCCAAATAATTATCGATTATTGAATTTTCAATCAATTCTGTTTAATCTGAAAATTCCTATCTAATCTTATTCTTTGCGAATTATAATTATTATTTGTATATAGGATTTGAATCGTTCATTGTTACTAACCATTTTGATATTCGGGATGCCGAAAAGTTTGTCAAGAAAATATTCCTGATCGTTGAATATCTGAAAACCGAATTGATTATTAGTTAAGCTTGTTATACAAAGAATACCGATGTTTATTGTATTTTTGCTCATTATTACAATCTTAATAATCTGATTTGATTAAACACCAAAAATATCAAAACCTTAAAATCCCAAAAAAAACTAGATTGGAAGAATCTAAGCTTGTTCCGGATCCTGCGAGTTATAAGTATATACACTTACGAATTTGAATTACTTGCTTCGATAAGAAATTATTCTATATTCTATATAAACTTACTATATTCCATTTATAACGATTTTATCCCTAATCAATACAATCCGTTTCCTTTTCCTATTGAAATCGAAAGAATCGAACAATTCGAGGTAAAAAAAGTTCTGAATTCCTACTAAAAGCATTACAATTACAATAACCTTTGTTTGAAATATATCGTCCGATAGATCGGCTATAATGAACCAATCGAAAAGCCTACTAATTACTTGAACAACACTCGAAAGCTGATCCAGAATTACTATCAAAGGTATCCAAATAAATCTGATCCTTATAATTGCCTCAACAAAATTCGGCCTTAAAAAAGGGATACTATTATAGGATCAAAATCAGGCTATTGGATTGGCCCCTTTAGTAGGTTCTATTTATTCGATCCAGTATCGAACAGGGCATGTTCGATGATTGTACCCTGTAAGAGTGTTAGAGCTTGGAGCCCTAGTATATACAAATATATTTAAAGGAAACGTTCCTTTTATAGAAACGTAACTCTTCGAGCTATATCTTATCAATAAAAGTGATTTCTGTTATCCTGTCTGCTGCCTCCGTGATAGTTGTCCGTTATACAAATCAATAAGAAAAATATTAAAAAAAAACAATTCTATTTCCCGATTCACTATGAAATATCTATTTCACACTAAAACAGGAATCATTAAAACCCTCGAATTTATCAAAGAAACAAAAATAACCATTAGATTATAACATCTAACTAGAATATAAGAGAATACAAAACAAAAAGACGAAAATGAAGAGAATAAACCAAAAGAAAATGATTAATTGAATCAATTAGATCAATTTGATCAATTTGATCAATTTACCCTTCTATATAAAGTAAATCGTTTTAATTTCGAATTATATTATATTTCATTTGTTATTTTCCTTATTATATACAAGAGTATTTGTAAAACAGATTTTGTTTCCCAGAATTAGTTTTCACTTTTTCCATTCAAAAATTAATAGATTAAAACCACTTCAATCTTCCCAAATTGTATTAGCTACAACCGAATATAGCCAGCAATTCTCCATTTGTTACTTGTTAGAAGCCTATAAAGCTCTTAGCCGTCTTAGATAGTCTTAGACTCAGTGTAGACGTTAATTTAATCAATCAATCAATCAAAGGTATCTTGAAGCTGTAACAACTTGGAAGCTCACAAGTGTTTTGGTATAGGTCCGAGCGCCTGTGAAGTGTATGCCGAATATCCGCCGATCGACCCCTCCGAACATCCAAACCTTTAAACTATCTTCCACAATATCTGAAGCAAACGAACTCATTTGCGCTTCCTGTACAACTTCCTCCTTAAACCTCAGATTAGTTTCATAGAACCAAGGGAATCATGGCCCTCGAACACGGAAACCCCGCCGACCTCCTCCCTATCCACTGGAAATCACAAATCACAGCCTGGTTTGCAGAAGATACTCCCTCCTTCGATTATGGCGGATTCGTCGTCGGTGATGGCGAACGATTTGCGATTTTATACGGAAAATCGCGAGGCATATTGGCAGGTGTACCATTCTTCGACGAGGTATTTGCACAAGCTGGATGTTCGGTGGAATGGCATATGAAGGAGGGAACATTAGTTGATCCTGGCGCATCCGGAAAAGTAGCCGTGGCTACAGTCACAGGACCAGTACGAAAAATATTATTAGGAGAGAGAGTTGCGCTTAATACATTGAGTCGCTGTTCGGGGATTGCGACGAAATCAAGGGATATGGAGATTTTGGTTAGGAAGGCGGGATATAAGGGGATTCTTGCTGGAACGAGGAAAACTACACCGGGGTTCAGGTTGGTGGAGAAATATGGAATGATTGTTGGGGGGGTGGATGGACATAGACATGATTTGTCTAGTATGATTATGTTGAAAGATAATCACATTTGGGCTAGGGGAAGTATTACTGATGCCGTTAAGACTGCGAAGGCGGCCGGTGGGTTCGCGTTAAAGATTGAGGTAGAGGTTGATAGTGAGGAAGGTGCTGATGAGGCCATCGCCGCTGGGGCTGACATAATCATGTTGGATAACTTTTCAGGAGATGGGTTGAAAGTAGCTGCGAAAAGTCTACGGCAAAGGTGGGCTGGGAAGAGGGAGTTCTTACTGGAGTGTAGTGGCGGACTTACTTCTGAGAACGTAGAGACTTATATCAATAACGGTAAGCTTAGTGGAATCCTGTCTAGTAGATTATTGCTAATTTTCAAATATAGACATCGATATAATATCCACGAGTTCAATACATCAAGGTGTACCTCATGTCGATTTCTCTCTGAAAATCAGTCCTTGATGAATAGTATAAAGATGAAATAAATATGCATTACTCCGCATAATACATGTCACCCCGTCTTCTCATTCATGACCTTTAATTGCGATCAAATAGTGGGTCTCATATCGCAGCTACATAAGCAGAAAGACTGAGAGTTTTTTTTATGTGATAAAGTACTCAGATTAAAACCTGCCTGGATGCTTCATCACGAGCTGTCCAATTTCTCACAGTCAAGAAAGGAATCAGCTCCGCTGTCAAGTATATGAACACCCACTATTTTCTCTTTGGGGTGCCTCCTGTCTTGTTCCGGAATAGTCTCTCAATCCATCCTATCCCAAAAACGGATCATTTTTTCTACGAAAGTCGAAGTGGTACCAGGCTTGACCTTATGATACTCGATATGCACTACATCCACATCGTTAGTTTTCCAAGCATTCCATGATTAAGGACTGTGCACTCACTCATAAACAACTTCTATCCCCTTCCTCATCCCACTACCAACCCACATCCCACAATTGACCTTCCCACTATATCTCTCATCTCCTGTTTCCATTTCAATAAACAACCTAAACTTATAACTATTTGGATCAACTTGATCGGCCAACACAGGGTCCGCTAGCTGAGCTAATATTTCAGGGGGTCCAGTTCTCCATCCGTGAGTTTTTATCGCAATATAAGCTGGTGGATCATCATAGGTCTGTAGTAGGTAGTTTGTTTCTAGACGAGCTGATCCGTCGGGTATTATTAATTGGCTATCTTGGCCTCCGGGCTATGACGTATTAGTAATGAAAACGGAGGAGGAAGGTCAATGTACTAAAACTATTCCTGATCCCCATGATCCAGACCACATACCACCGGTAAAAGATATCCAATTTCGATGTCCAAATGGTGTTGGTCCAACTGAGATTCGAGGGTTGAGCGTAACAGACATACGGAAATCGAGATTTAGATTTGGATGTGGTAGTGATAGATCTGGATGGGGATATGTAGATGCGACTTGGTCATCTCTATGAGCGATTAGCACTCTGATTGTTCAGAAGAATTTCCTTCATTCAGAATTGGGATTTGAGCATTTGAGTACTGGTTTTTCAAAAAACCAAAAATTTCCAATGAGAGGTTTTCGTGGGGTTGGATGAACAATGAGGTGTGATTTTATAGTAAATGATACATCAATGAAATAAAATGTAATAATTGCTGAGATGTTCTCAGGAAACGCTGAAATGACATACTTAGAACCATAATACATATTCCACATAAACGGCTGATCATGCGCTGGAGATTTCCACTCTTGAGTTGTCGAATCTTGTATTCTAGCAGTAGGAGTAGAATTATCTTTCCATCCAGCAGCCATTCGAGGATCATCCGTATCAATACTAGTCCCGAGGTTTCCCCGTGCGATTTGAGGTCCATTTACAGTCCAATCGTCTCGTGGTGTCGAAGGATTCATTTTGGGTTGAACTTTCAAATGATTTATTTCTTGTTGACGGACTTTTGTGTTATAAAGGATGGGTGACAGTGGTGGAACACGGGCTTGGAGATCTATGAATGATGAATATGTTTGGTCGAGGTCTTCGGATTCTAAATGATAGAACTACTGTGACACGGTTCAATTATCCTTAGAATCTATAACTAGAGAGTGAAAGGTCGATAACTCCGAAGGGGTTATATATATTAGTTACAGATACGTGATCGATCGGCTTACATAATCTTCGAACCGTGATAACTACCAAGTTAACTGAGTTTTTACGGTAATTTAAAAGAAGGTGTGTGCTTGTTTGGGCTCAGTCAATACCTTCCTCGTACAGATGGATTCATGAGCAGTTTAAAAAACTAGTGTTGGAATTTCGTCTTGCCTCGAAAACAGATGTTGCACTTACAACATTTAATCTAACATACAATACAAGTATTTTGAAGACCGTTCTTTAGTACTTTGTTGTGTCTGGTGGGGCTGACATAAGCCGCATAGTTTGTGTGCCGTCCGAAAAATGTCCGCTTGAAAATCCTTCTCCTCCGCCCCGATGTCCCGCTATACTTTATAACAAAGATTATGATCCTTTAAACAAAGCAAAATATCAACCCGGTTGGCACAATTGGTTAGCGCGTGGGCCTTTTAAGCCATTATCTGGCATGTGAAAGCCCAAGGCTGAGAGTTCGAGCCTCTCATCGGGTGGCTAAAGCACATCTTTGCCATTTTTGGTGCTTTTTTTTGCTCTTTCATTTTCACTTACACATGACTTCAGCACGCACCTTTGCAGCTGTGATTTCGGTTATTTTTTAGTACAGAAGTAGTCCAAGACCTTCTCCACACTTTTCTTTTGTTCTTCAAAAGTTTCCTGAGAATCCCACTCGGAACTCCACTAACAAGAACTAATCATCCGCTAATCGTCAAATTTTTTGCAGAGCTTTTCTCTACATCTGTCTGTGCTATAAATCCTCAAAAAAAAAGATGCGTCTACATCAATAATCAAGAAAGCTTGCCCGGCTAGCTCAATCGGTAGAGCGTGTGACTCTTATGATTCAATATCTATGAGTTCTTCTGAAATCACAAGGTTGGGGGTTCGACCCCCCGTTGGGCTCAATTCCCTTCAATAGAAATCTCTTTTTTGATGCTCCCATTAGTGCTCTTTTTTAGTATCTTTTGAAACCCCGAGGAGCAGAAAGAGTAGCTCCCAATGTCAGCAGCCCAGGGTGCTTCAGCAAGAAAATGTTTCGAAGCCCTTCTCAACCCTTAACTTAAGTCCAACAACAGAGTACCGTTGCTCACATCACGGTTCCTGGTGGGGTGCTTCCACACTCTACCAGCTTAAAAGACCCACGCTCAGCCAATTGTGCTGCAAATCGGGCTTGTGTTTGCTCTGTTTGATATCTGGCGGAGCATGGCGGGGCCTTCCCCGCCCTTCTCAAAAATTCCCACCTAGGAACTCAAAAGGGTGCAAAACTCACCCGAGGTCCACCAAATAAAAATCACCAAAAAGGATTTTAGTCTCTCAGGCGCGAGTCGAACGCGCGACATCCAGATTACAATGTACAATTACAGTCTGACGTCATAAACCAACTAGACGACCGAGAGTGTTTTCGAGTTATGGCTCGAATGGTCACAGTTTGTTGTGTTTGTTAGCTCAGGGGTTGAAGTTTAAAAATATGTAGGTGTATGAAAATATCGTGGGGCTGTGGGGTGGAGTTTTCTCCAAAGAAAATACGCGTGGAGTCGAACATTGCGAGAGTTGGGGTCGAGCAATTAAAGTAAGGCTGGTAGTGGAATCAAGCATTCAACTTTTATGTTACAATGGTCAAGTGGCCCCTTTTTCTTACTTAATGGTCCTGTCATCTACTCATTCAACTTGTATTGGCCCATTCTTCGGTAGACGAGAATCATCCCTCAAAATTAATAAGACTTCTACTCCGAAATGCGTTGCTCTCGTTCAAGTAGTCTTTACGTGCGAGGGGAGCCGCCCAGTATGACAGTCTCTTTGAAGTTAATTTCTTGATAGATCTTAATGTATGTATATCTTCAAGAGTCAAGAAAGATTGAGCAAGTTTGAAACTAAAATGAATTCAACCTCTTGATCCATTGAAACTGCAAAATCCTATGAGCATCTAGATCAGGTGAATTTCCCAACCCGGCGAATTTCCCGAAAAAGGGTTTGGAATGGGGATCGGGATCCTGTAAAGAATCCCGCAGACCTCACACGACGGAACAAACAGCTCGAATCATCGCATGCGAAAGGAGCGCAGCTCAGTCCTTAGGGTTTAGACCAAAGACATGACTAAACCCATCTCAGGACGGAAAGTGTATTATTTTGAATATAATCAAGTTTATCTATGGTCCCTTGAGACGAAAGAGTGGAATGTTTGAGAGTACAAGTAAGAGATTATGGGTACATTGGTCATTTAGACGAAATGGGTTTATAAGTGTTGGAAGGGCAATCAAGCATATATTATTGTGTGTCTAATATTCTATAGTCAAGCTAGAAGATATAGAGGACCAGTACGGAAGCCTAGTACTAGTGTATCACGTGTTCTAACAATAAGAATAAGGCTGTTTGGAGCTTGATGGATAGCGTGTGCAAGCAAGGAAGGATTTGGTTTTGGCAGTGTTGGGTGCGGGACTGTAGGTTTACGTGGAATTATGGAATTACAGAGAGATTTTGCCTCATTGGTTGCATGGACTCAGTTTTGGTTTCGACTGTTTCATGTTTGCAGATAGATTGGTGAATGGATTAAAAGCGAGTCACATGTCACATAGATTGTTGAAGTTGTAAAAAAGACTGAATTTATTCGCTAGGATTACAAATGTAATCAATGTAACTGATACCTCGACATCGCTTCTAGCTCGAGAATCCACCTTCGATAATACCGCTAACTCTCGAACGGACAATGAAATATAGAACAGAACCAATGTTCACCACCTGTTGCTTATCGGCTCGGTAGCTCCTTTACGACTCCAACGATAGAGACCGATAATAGACGTAGGGACCACATCCCGATAATATCGCCAGTTGAGCCCATTGTGATACATCGAGATATCTAAGTCGTGGCGAAAAATAAGAACCCCAAGAGTTTCCGACCAGCGTCCTGTCGTTGCTGCTGCCAAGGTCCTATTTCCCTGATCTCGAAACCTCACGACCACCTCCGTCATTTGCAAGAACTCTTCACGTGAAGGCATCGGTGCGTTGCAGGGGAAAACCAAATGTGTGGGTATGAGGTTAGCGTTTCGACGACTCCCGTTCAGTGTATATTCAGGACTGTTTGGGTGTATAGCCTCGAATCCCACCTTATCATAATTCATGGGGTTCCAGCTTTGTACCTGCTCGAGAGGTTGGAGAGCATTGAAGAATGCAGATGGCATATTGGAGCATCTAGTAGCTTGTCGAAAGAATTTGCTGAGAAGCAATACGTCGCAGGATTCGCTGTCGCATACAAACATGGCTAAAAGGAGCATTAGCAGGGAGATTTTGGACTTGTTCGGATTGAAAGACCTTTGTTGGATTTAACTCCATTTGTTGGGAAGAGACAAGCCATTCTTGGTATCAGAATCTGATAGACTGATAGTTGCTATAGTACAGTGGTTATGAGTGAATATCATGTCTAGAGGAAAAGGAATAACCATACTGTTTAAGGCGTAAGATTAGGAAATGAAATTCTGTTGTGTAATGTTGTTATTATCGTTGCTTTGGATATCTTATTGTGTGGACAGGACTTATAATGCTGACTGGAAACAATGTAAAGAATACAGCGTATGGCTGAAAGGAAGAGATTGACATGAAAATTGGTCGATTTGAACAGGAAGGTACCATGGCGTAAGCCAAACTGAAATTGAAAAGATGGAAGGACTTTTGGTTATGATGGAGAGGTGAAAAGGAAGGATCATTCGAAACTCAATTGACTAAAATCTAAAATCTTGTTTTCCGGTAGGAGAAGAAGTTACCTTCTGGTGAGCATGAAGTTCAGGTTTTCTAATAGTCGGGACGGCAGTTCAACAATAAGAAGAGATTCCTAATCCTTGGATTCATCTTATATGTTGGATCGATCCAGTGGAATAGTCAAGTAGGATAAAGTATCGAAATATTAAACATTGTGTCAATTGACATACTTAATGAGATAATTGAACAATTTCGTGTTGATTTGTAACTTCTTGAACATTGGAAAATCGACGAGTCAAGATACCCATTCTAGGCAGTATATGCTACAGCAGGTTTTGGTCATGGAACGATCCAGTTCGCCTGAGGAAAAGCATCGGCTCATCATGACCAAAGTTTGAGGTATACACAATGTCTTATTCATGGGCATGTTTGAGTTTAGAGATACACAGGAAGAGTCACCATGTCATTCGTGCTGCCTGAGTAGTGCCCATATTTTTTTTGAGTTTATGAGTAAACGCAAGATGCCAGTCATAATTACCATCTTTAAAGGACATAAGGCTCTCAACCATTAAACTATCCTACAACGAGCTGGATTTTTTTACGGTGCCAGAAACGGAGCATGGTCATCCCTGTACATTGGAAGAGACGTGCAACATAAGTTTTCCATACCAGAAACCACGAATCAACGAAATTTAAAGCCCAATAGACTAGTTTTAGGTCCCGTTTCCTCTAAATGATAACAACTAAACTTCGATAGCTCACCATTTAACCGACTAGGCCCTTCAACACCCTTGTGCAGACATGCAACAAAAAAATAATTCAAGAAGCAAATTGTTATGGAAACGATAGCATCAAAAATAATAGCGGGAACTACTTAGAGAGCGAAACTATAGATATGAGAGGGCACTTGCACCCGGGAAGTAGATCAGCGAGCAGGTTCAAGCGGCCTTCTCAGCGATTAATTAACATAGCCCGGCAAGAGCCACCCAATAGGTAATCTCGAAGCTAATTGAGTCCATTCAAGGGTAAACTATCGCCAAAACCAAAAGATCAGATAAAACGGTTAGTGAAAAGACGAAAGGGCCAGCATAGTAGCAAAAACAAGACTCGGCTTAAATTTTGCGCCAAAGTGCCGTGCATCTTATTGGTTATGATTGAGTAGACATCAAAACGTCAAAAGATGTGAGCAAATCGGCACGTGACGCGGTGAAAATGCATTAAGCGGCCGCATGACCGCTTCAACCTCGATATTGACTTTCTACTTATTTTCTAAGCAATATCAGTCTCGCCGGCACTCCATAAAATGAAGCGCATCAGTCAATTACCGGTGGTGAATGGCCTGAAAGGTCTACGAGTATACCAATGTCAAACCGTAGCTCCATTGAGCCAAAGATGTATACACACAACGCCACCATCGCCCGCAACAGTTGCACCTGCGGCATTCACGGCATCTGGGCCACCGCCAGCTGCACCAACTCCCAGCACCGAGCATCTTGATATCCGGGTTGCCAGGAAGAGGAAGCAAGCAGAGCTACTCAAAAGGGGTCAAGATATGAGGGCTGTAGCTAGTGGGAAAGGTGGCGGAACAGCAAAATCGAAGAGGTTCTGGAAGGATGTGAATATACAGCATACGGAAGGTAATATCTGCCAAATTTCTATTTCTCCTTGAGAACGAATTCGCTAATCACTGTTACAAATGCAGAGGGATTGCAGATATTCCTCGACAAACGAGCTCTTCGACGACCTTCCAAAGAAATTCTCACAATACCACATCATAAACCACATTTGGCATCTGCGATTGCCCTCG